GCTCCGAATCCTCCCTTAACAAGTGAGAAAACCTTTAGGCTTTGGCTCGAGGTCCTAATGGAGGTCAGGCTGGACCCATCTCGGGAGATGTGGGCAGTGCTGGGGGTCACAGCACTCGGGAAGGGACTGCCAGCCCAATGCCGGTCACTGGGCTCTTTGGGAAGGAGCGTGGGGCCTGGGTGACCGTGTTCTGCCTCTCCGTCTTCTGCACGGCCTCCGATGCCCGGCCTCAAAGCGAGGTCCACAAACCACGCTCAGCAGTGTCCCCGGGGCCTGTGGGGGAAGCGGAGTGCAGCCCTTCCCAGCCCCGCTGACTCCCGGTCTGCGGCCAGCCGGGTCCCCAGCCCACACAGCAGCCCGGCCAAGCTGGAGGCCACCGCGTTCGGATGTCTTCACGTGGCCTTCCCCAGACAGCAGATCCCCAGCCTCGGCACCTGAGGAAGAGCGGCCGCCCAGCATGCCCACCTCTTGGGGTGCCCCCCCAGACGTCCACGTCCTAATCCCCAGGTCTGTGACTTGCTGCCTCGCAGGGCACAAGGGACCGTGCCGATGTGAGATGGGGACGTCGTCCTCCTGGTTACCTGGGAGCTCAGCGGAACCACACGGAGTTATGAGAGGGGACCCGGAGGGCTACAGTCAGAGATGGAGACGTGGCCACGGAGGCAGAGGTTGAAGGGACGAGGGGCTGTAAGCCAAGGTCACATGGGTGACCTCTAGAATCAGGAAAAGGCAAGGAGACAGGTCTTGCCTTCAGCCCTCGGCGAGGAACACAGCCAGGAAGCGCTGCGGTGTCACCCCAAGACTCCCCCAGGATCTGACCTCGGGAGGTGAGCTGGATCGGCTGCTTTAAGCCACGAGGAGGTTCGTGCTCATTTGTTACATCAGCAACAGGAAACTAATACACCTCCCCTGCATCCAGGGCCCTCCTCCAGGGAGTCTCTCCCCACCACCCAGCTCCTGTGTGGTCCCCGTCCCTCCGCCACTCCCCGTGGTGGGGGAAGCCTGGCCTTGGGGTTAAGCAGATCTGAGTCTGACCTTGACCCTTGCCTGACCCCTCTGAGCCTCAGTCTATTTGGGGTCAACAGGGCCAATCTGACAGGTTTCCTGGCGAGTGACTCGGCTCACGGCAGGTCCCTGGGGATGGTGGCCTCGCCAGCCAAGGAGCTGGGCCCAGAGACGGGAGACCGTTCCCTGCCGCCGTCACCGCTGCACAGGCGGTTAATCATGGGGACAGACTCTGAGGACGCCTCTTGCCCCCGGAGTTCCACAAGGCGCTGGTCCCTGTCGATCCAGGCACATCTCTGGCAGACGTGCCCTTTAGAGGTGGCTCTGCTGGAATCCGCCAACGGTCCGCCAGCCTGGGAGACGTGTCGTGGTGACCTTGGCCTTCAGCATCGGATGACAGCAATTTTTCTTTCTTTTCAGGATCCAGAAACTGACTTTGAAAATAACCTGTGGTCCGCACAGCCCGGGGCTGCAGGTGGGCAGGGGGCGGTCAGGCGGGGACTTAGGGGAGTGACCTGGGTGAGTTCCTGTCACACGGGCCCTGCCAGGTCACCCTGGGCCAATGCTCCTCTCCTGCCTCCCTGGGCCTCTCTCCCTGGCCGCACCTGGGCCTCCCTTCCTGGGCCTCCCTCCCTGAGCCTTCCTCCGTGGGCCTCCCTCCCTGAGCCTCCCTCCCTGAGCCTCCCTCCCTGGGCCTCCCTCCCTGGCCTCCCTCTCTGGCCGCACTTGGGCCGCCCTGTAGGTAGAGGAATGGCCAGGACCCAGGACCGTCACCTGGCTGAGGATGGGTGTGGAATCTGTTTGATTTTGTTCTTTCTTATGTTTGTTCCTCCCTCCCCCCCCCCGCCTTCTCTCTCTCTCTGTTTTCCTTCCTCCTTTCTGTCTGTCCATCTGTCTCTCTCCCCTCCTACCATTTCTCTCTCTCTTTCTCTCTCTCTCTGTCTCTGTCTCTCTCTCTCTCTCTCTCTCTCTCTCTCTCTCGGCGCAAGTGGGACTTGAATTCAATGCCATGTCAATGTTGAAAAATGGGGAAATCACATGGAAATGGAGATGCCGCTGCCAACCTGGCGGCCAGGGCCACATTCCCACTCGGGGACAGCGGGGGAGCCGAGTGACAGCTGCCCCGTCCCTACTTGGCCGCAGTCTCCACCCCTCCCTGTCGTCCCGCCCCAGAGCTGAGGGCTACCTCCCAGAGACCCTCCGAGTGAGCAGCGTCCTGTGTAATGACAGTGGCCAGGCAGCAGCGGGAGGGCAGGAGGCGCCAGGCCCAGTGCAGCCAAGGAAGCAGAGATGGCCACAGCTGGGGAGGGAGCCGCCGAGCATGCTGGGAAAGGCCCCGCGTCCAGGAGCCTGCCAGCTCCTGTCCGGCTGCCACCTGCTGCACAGTGGGTGTGACAGGGGCTGGTCCCCGTGGAGGGGAGAAATAGGGGAAGTGCCTACCTGATGTGGGGTAGTAGTGCAAAACCCAGCTTTGTTCCTGACCCGCTGTGTGGCCCTGAGCAAGATACCGTACCTCTCTGAGCTTCCGTCTCTTCCTCCATCTCCGAGGGTGATCTTGAGGGTTAGAAGAGACAGGGAAAGAGGCACACCCCAGGCTCGGCTCTCGATGAGCCTCACCGCGTGCCAGCTTCCCCTTGAACAGATGAGAATGTGAGGCTTGGGGAAGAAAAAACCAACTCGTGTGTCCAGCCTGAAAGAGCCATGGGGGGCGGTGTGCAGAGCTGGTCCCACTGGGCGGCGTGGGTTTCCAGCTGCATCCTGACCCACCCCCACTGTCCTGACCAGTGGTCGGAGACGGGTCGGTCACCTGATGGACGGCGACTGTGTCGTCTGTCACCCAGCAGTGCCAAGGACTGTGCTGCGTCCCGGACGGAAACTCATTTCACTCCCCCTCAGAGCTGGGTGCTCCTGGGACCTCCCTGCTCCACAGGAGAGGAAACTGAGGCCCACCCAGCCCTGGCTGGTAAGTGGCAGCCTCACTGGGCTCCCTCTGCATGGCCGGCCCCGCGGGGGACTCTGGCTGGTTCCTGGCAACAAGCATTCGAAGTAGGAGAAATCAGCTCCGTGTTATAAGGGAGGACACTGAGGCACAGAGAAGTTGACCTTTTGCCCAAGGTCACACAGCATCGGCAAGGGGCATCAGGAACGGCACCCAGGCCCGTCTGAGCCTCATCATCTCATTCTCTGCACCTCTCTTCTGGGCCACGGACCCCTTTGGCACCTAGGAAAGCCTGGGGTACTCCAAATATTGTTTTTTAAAATATTTTTTTTAGTTGTAGCTGCACATTTATGTTTTTTCCCCCAGTGGTGCCGAGGATCGAACCCAGTGCCTTGCAGGTGCTAGACGAGGGCTCCACCACAGAGCCACAACCCCAGCCCCCCTCCAGATATCGTTTTTAAACACACAGAGCAAGCCCACACGGAACTGCAAAGGAGCCGATGGACCTGAAATGGAGCTATCAAAGCACGTTTAAATGAGATGCGTGATACCGATCCTCGCGCTTCGTCATTAAGGCGTGAAAGAACGAGATCTCCCGCGAGTCCCATCACCACGGCAGGTTCAAAGTCGCCAGGTCGGGAGCCAAGATACCTGCAGACCTTCCAGGCAACGGGAAAGGTCGGCGATTGTCGTTGGTGACAAGGACCCGGGATCGGTGAGGTCCTCTGAGATCTGTCACCTCCACGCGTCACCGAGGGAAACGGGGACTGCCACTGTGGAGACGGAACGTTCTGCCACCGCGTTCGAGGTCCCCTGAATCCTGCCTGTCGACCCCTGGGGGTGTCAGGTGAAGAGTCTCCACTCCTCAGCCGTTGGCCAAAGCGTGGTGCTAAGTGGCAGGTTCCTGGGCTGGTCCCCAAGGGGTTTGATGCCTCGGGTCCCGGAAGGGGCTGAGCGGCGCCTTATGGGACAGTGACCCCCAGCCACTCTTCCTCCTGCACCCTGTGGTCTTTCCCCACCTCAGTGTCACTTGAAATGGTGACAGGCGTGGTTTTCTCTGGGTCTGGTCTGCCCGCCGCTGTCATGAGGACCCCACAGGGACAGGCTGTGTCCCGTGTGACAGGAGACACTCAGCAAATTCAGCCGTCCCTGGGCTTCCCTGGGGGACTGGTTCCAGAATCCCCCGCAGATCCCAGGTCCACAGATGCTCAAGACCCTCCACAGCCAGCGTCTGTTCGTGACCTGCACGGCCTCCTGCCTGCAGTACAGCACCTGTAACACCTAGGACAGCCGAGTGGCACCTGAGCCGCTGCCACACTGTATTATTATTATTATTATTAATCTTTGGTATTCAGGGGCACTTGGCCCCTCCCCAGCCCTATTTTGCATTTTATTTAGAGACAGGGTCTCCCTGAGCTGCTTAGGGCCTGGCTTTGGCTGAGGCTGGCTTTGAACTCACGATCCTCCTGCCTCAGCCTCCCGAGCCGCTGGCATCACGGCCGGGCCCTGGGAGAAGCCTGTGCGCGCCTCGTGCAGATGCGAAGTTTCTCCACCTCTTTCTGCTCTGCGCCTGGTGGAGTCTGAGGCCGGGAACCAGGGGACACGCTGCACCTGCCGAGTGGTGAGAAGAGGGGGATCCAGACCCACCGCAAAGAGGCCCCAAGCAGCTTCTTGGAGGAGGTGGGAGGCCCCAGTGAGGGCCGCTTAAAGGCCAAGGTCAAGGGCCAGGAGGACCCAGAGGTGAAAGGCCACGGGCGTCCGCGGTTCAGACCCTCCATGGACATTTACCGGGAGGGAGGCCGATGGTCCAGGGAGGCCGACGGCAAGAGGAGCGGACCTCGGGGCAGGGCTCACCGACTCCTTCGTCCATTCCTTTTGGGGGGCAGAGGGGGTTCAAATCCCACCCGCCCCCTGCGCCCGGGCGATGCGGCGGGTGTCTCTGGCCGGGCCTCCTCCCGTCTGCAGTGAGGCTTGGTGGAGAGTGGAGGGACGGCCCGGGAGGGACAGGCCCCGGGGACCGCGAGCAGGGATGGGGGAAGAGGAGGGGCGGCCTGGCCGGGCTGGGGGGTCCCCAGGGCTTGTGGAGGTTCCAGGGAAAGTGAACCAGACCGAGGAAGCAGGACCCCGGAGCCTCCTGGGCAGCGGGAACCAAGGTTGGGGGGCTCCCAGCCAGACGAGCCTCCTGGGGGCAGCACAGAGGGGTCACCCCCAAGACTCCAGGCCACGCCCACTCCTGGCCACGCCCACCCCAGGCCACGCCCCCAGGACAAGTCACCAAGGCGGCAGACTCCCACCTGACGCCATTAACCCCTCCCCCACCAGCCGTCACGGCCTGTCCTAGTGGGGGCTGAGGGAGGGGCTCCAGCTGCTGAGATGCCCCCTCCCCTGGGGGCGGTGGAGGGACAGCCACCTGGCAGCCAGGATGAGCCACAAAGGACCAACTCCACCTGTACTGTGGCCCTTCACTGTCCTCCCCTATGGCCTCCCCTCTTGTCCCCTGCCCCCCTCACTTCCTGCCGTCACAGAGGTCTCCTTGATAATCCTTACATGCAACAGGCACGAGCCTGCCCTGAGGCTTTGCACTGGCTGTTCCCTCTGTCGGCAATGCTGTTCCTGCAGGGTCTGCTGTGGCTTGGATATGATCTGAGTGTGACCCCAAGGGTGAATCTATTGAAATCTAACCCCTACTTGTTTGTCACTTCTCAACCATGGCTTCCCTAATCTCACTACTTAAGATTACCCCTTTCTGAGACTTCTAGCCCCTTCCTTTATTTTTTTTCCCCCTAGTGTTTAGGGCTCTTTTGAGAAGGTCAGTCAAATCTGCTCTCCTCAAAGGCCTCTAGTGCTCTAATGACTTCCTGTTGTTCCTTCCAGGATCTTAATGGATCTGGCTCCCACCCTCCTCTCCAGCCTCCTCACTTGCCTCCCCAAGGCTCCTTTTCATCTAGAAAGGTACAAAATGCATTCTCACCCCGGGGCCTTTGCACATGCTTTAACCACTTTGGACAGAAACATGGATACAAGAAACCTCTTGCTTTCCTCCTTAGATAACAGCACAGCCCAGTAACAAGTGGGGTCGGTAACAAGTAACAAGAGCTGATCTCTAGGCATGGGCCGGAGAATGGGGGTAAAAATGTTCTGGGGCAGAACTCTCCGAGGGCTTATCTGGAGGGGTGCTGTCAGCAAGGCTGCTCCCTCACAGTGGATGGGCTTCCCTGGGCTGAGTAAGACATTCACCTTGACAGAGAAGGAGAAGCAGGCAGCATTTCACCTGGGTCTGTCTTGCACTGCGAGTCTCCATCTTAGGACTCTGGGCTCAGACAGAATCTTTTCCAAAGCCCCAGCCCCCACCCGACCTCCACCTGGACCAAAGGGATCTGGGCTTTATCGTCTGGCAGAGGAGTCTAAAAATATCTGCACTCGCTAACTTCATGGGTTTATTCTCTCATCTGGGAGGCCCCCGCAAAGCTTTTGCCAATATAAATGGCATTTCCTTTGGTATTTTTAAAGATCAGAGAATCCAAGGGAGTAAGCAAACTGGATGGAGGCCTTTGAGAAGGGAGCTTTCAAATGCCTCGTGTTTCAGGTTTTGAAAAAAAAGTTTTTTTTAAGGAGGCCCGAAAGGTTAGGTTTCCAGATAGTTCACAAAGGAAGGAAGCAACCTAAAGTCACATGGAGAAAGAGATCGACCTCCCTCGTTGTAAAATTTAGATTTAAATCCCCCCGAGGCGCTTCCTGAGCTGCCATGTTAAAGCAGATTTTTCAAACACGAACTCAGCTACGAGAGGCTAAAGGGAAAGAGGATTCTCCTCCAAGAAAGACCCGCTGCTCACCTGGAAGTCGGAGGCCCTGTTTCCCAGGCTCCCTTGCAGGTGAGCGGGCCATGGTGGGCCTTGCCCTGGCCACCGGGCTCTGGGCAGACACAGGGAGTGGCGTTGGGGACAATGGTGGGAGAAGCTGGTGTGTGGCCCCTCCTCGCCCCAGCGGTGGGGTCACCTGTTGAGAGGTGAGTGTGGCCCTCCGCCTGGGGCCCTCGGTCCCTGGTTGTTCCCTCTAGAAGGTTCTTTCCTCTTATCTCACATGGTTGGCTCCTTTTATCCATTCCAGGCTCCAAGTGTCAGTTCCGCAGGAAGATCCAGAAGGTTCCCCCCCTGGACACTGCCCATTACGACCTCAGGTGTCTCCCGAGCAGGTTTCCGGTTTGGAAATGATCTTGTCGTCAGCTTCCTCTGTGAAATGGGCTCTTTTCTCTCCAACATGATTCCGGAGACCCTGGTGGGGACCGACACCTGGTCTCTGCCACCACCACCCCTCCTGTGCCCTGGGCCAGTCCAGCCACATCCCTTTGGGGATGGAAACTGGCTTTACCTTCCAGGTCCTCCCTGCACGGTCCCCTGCCTTTGGAGGGGCAGCTGCTCACAGGGCGGGGCTCCAGGGCGGGGCGGAGCTTCAGGGTGGGCGGGGCTCCAGGGTGGGGCGGGGCTCCAGGGTAGGGTGGGCCTGTGGGGCGGGGCTCCAGGATAGGGCGGGGCTCCAGGCCTGGATGGTCAGAGTCCATGGTGATTGGCTCAGAGTTGGGCACGTGACTCAAGCTGAGCCAATCAGAGGCAGTCCTGGGACTTGGCGGAGATATCTGGCAAAGGGATGTTCCCTTCGGATGAGCGATTGCCAAGCGGTCCCAGGGAACTCTGCCAGGGAGTGAAGCCACACGTGAAGGCTGAGGTGACAGGCAAAGAAGCTGCATTCGAAGCGCGCTGTCGCTGACGCACCTGGATCCAGCTGTGCAGGAACCAGATCTGTCCCTGCTCCCTGAGTCACTGGGCCCGTAAATTCCTCCAGACTCAAGCCTGTTTGCAGCAGGTTTTTTCTCTCTCTTATAGACAAAGCATCACTGTCCCTGTAAGGATGTCTGTCACAGAGCTACGATGTTTGCTTACTGATTAGTCCCCAGGCCTATGAGCTCCCTGAGGCTCAGGGCAGGGTCCCTGGCCCCTCGGCCCCTCCACTGCCCTGCACAGCCCTGGCCAAGTGACCAGAGAAGACAGAAAGCTCGGCAGCTTCAGGGCCTTAATTGGGGACCTGCTCTGTCAGTTCCAGAAGCTTCCGACTGTGTGATCTGAGCAATTAACCTTTCTGCAGAGGCCAAGGCCAATTATATCCCAGGGGCCATCTGTGACATCTGCGAAATAGACCCGGTGCCTCAGCCTGGCTGTCTTGGGTTTTATAGGACAAATGTAGAGCCATCAATCTCCACTGTCGCCACTGCTGCTGCCCTGGTCCAGGCCTGCCACCGCTCACCAACTCCTCCCACTTCTGCCAGCCGGCTCCAGCGCAGCCTGCACAGACTGTCCCCAAAGACCTCCGCAACTTCCCCCAGCTCCCCCCACCCCGCCCTTCAACGTTCCCAAACGCCCCACGTGGCAGATGCAAGCTGCCGCCAAATCTTCCTGGCTGCGCCCTTTGCAGGGCCCGCCCACCCTGACGCTCGGCTCAGCCACGTGATCGCTCTGGCCAATGGGGCACCAATGGACCAGACACCCGCACCCTGCGGAGCCGGCGCAGCGCTTCTGTCCGGCACCTGGCCCCACCCCGAGGCCATGCCCAGGCTAGCGTGCTGAGGACGAAGGACCAGGGCTCAAGCATCCTAACAGAGGTGGCCTGGTCAGTCTGTACCATGGAGCCAGCCAGGCACACGGAGTGGACCCCTCTAGCCACCTGGTAGCTGTGAGAACCACAGATAGTCCTTGCGTGCCTCTGAGGGCTGTGGTCCGGTGCAGCACGGTCGTGGCAATGGCCCACGGACACGGCCCACGCTTGCCCTGGATCCCACAGGGCTTCGGTCTTCCGTCTGCCTGGCTGCACTTCCTGGCCCAATTTGGATCTGTGCCTTTGCCCATTTTGTGCAGCTAGAACAGAATACCTGAGTCTGGGGCATTTATAAAGAAGAGAGAAATTCATTCTCACAGATCCGGAGGCTGGCAAGTCCAGGATCAAGGTGTCAGCGCCTGGTGCATCATCCCATGGTGGAAGGGGGAAGGTCAAGACAGAGCCAACCCACTCCCCAATTTTATAAGAGCATCCATCCGCTCATGAGGGCAGAGGCCTCATGACCTAAATACCTCCCCAGAGGCCCCACCCCCCAACACGGTCACCCTGGGGGTGAAGTTTCCAGCCGGTGAATTTGGGGAGGGAGCAAAACCATTCAACCCATAGCGGACTTCCTGACGAACTCCTACACATCCTTCAGTACCCAGCTTGTCATCCAACAGGGGCTTCAGCAGCCCTCTTCCCACCCTCCCAAGGGTCATTAGCTCACTTTTTGTGTTCTTGCAGCAGCTGCTGTGTTAAGGCGGGCTGCATCTGATAGGGGGGTTCAAGTCATGGCACCATTCCCTGCCGGCTCTGGGGACTTTGGGCCCGTCGTTCAACTGGTCTGCACCTCAGTTTCCTTACCAGAAAATGGGACCATAGGAACGTCACCCACCTGGTGGTTAATTCACAGACGGCCAGGTCCACAGCAGGGCCTCCGTGTACTTAGTGGCTACCCTCATGACCATGGTGCATCTCTGCACTGGGACACAATTCTTGGCCTCCCTTAGGAGACCCCGGGCTCTAGCCATCAGGACCCTCATCTTATTCTCCATGTCTTGCCCTCCGCCCAGGACAGAGAGGGCCATCCTAATGGAACCCTGAAGAAGTCAAGGAACCAGCCCTCGGGCACCAGGACCCCATTCCTCCCCAGCTCTGCTAATTCTCCAAGGAGGGCACTAACGGCCCCATTGCATTGCTAAGATGACCAAGGTCCAGGGGGGCAGCTTCCCGTGCCCAGGAGCATGTCACAGTGAAGGAATATGCAACCGTCTGCACGCCTCCTGATCTCACCCGTCTTTGGGACAAGGACACATGAATGATGGTCTCCACGAGGAACAATAAAACTAATAAAACCTCCCACAGTCATCCGTCGGTGTCCACAGACGTTGCTTCCCACCCCCCTCCACGGATGTCGGATCCACAGATGACTCAGGTCCCTTATAGAAAATGGGGTAGCCTGCCCCACAGCCTACACACACACACACACACACACACACACACACACACACACACACGTCTACTTTAAATCCTCTGCAGATGACTTACGACACCTGAGATAATGTCAGTGCTCTCTGAGTCATTATGCTGCTTGTTTAGGGCTTAATGACGAGAAAAACAAGACGGTGCATATTCAGAACAGACGCCCTTTAATTTGGGTTTCTTTTTAGTACTAGGATTGAACCCCGAGTGATCTACCACTGAGCTGAATTTCCAGTCCTTTTTATTTTGAGGCAGGATCTCTCACTAAGTAGCCCAGACTGGCCTCCAACTTTGGATCCTCCTGCCTCAGCCTCCAGCTGCTGGGATTACAGGAGAGCATCACAGCGCCTGGCTCTTCTAGAATACTTTGGATCCATGGTCAGCGGAATCTGGGGACACGGGGCCAGCAGGCGCAGAGCACTGACTGTATTTCCGTAGCATTTACTATTTTGCTGGTGCTGTTCCAATCACATGGTTCGGCTTGATTGGATCCTCACAAAAACCTCCATTTGGTGCCTATCGGATTATCCCCATTTGACAGCCAAGAAAACGGAAGCACGGATCGTTCACTGATTTGCTTGACGCAGTCTATTAAGTGACCTCACCAGGATTTGAGCCAAGCCACTCTGTCCCATGAAGCTTTCTAGGTCTGGTGGGCAAAGGGCGGTGGCAAAGGACAGAGTCCGAGGGGTGGGGAATGCCTGTGCCCAGCTTTGACTGGGGCGGGGCCCTGTCCCGGCCCTTCCCCTGCCCCTCCTCCTGTCCCACTGGCCTGTGAGTTCTGCATTAGTCTCTCTGCTGCCGACCATGAATCACTGCTTCATGATCCTCGGTCTTCCCACCACAGATACAGGCACACACGCCTGCTCGGCCTGCCTACCCCACGCGGGCGGCTGCCTCAGTCTCCCCAACATACCCCTTCGACTCCCTCCAGAGCTTCTCTGCAGCCTGATCAAACCTGCTGCTCACCCGGAAAACCCAGCTGCCCTTCCACTCCAGCTCGTCTCCTCTTACTCCCCCTTTCTCCCCAGACTCTGGGCACACTGGTCTCCCTGCTGTTCAGCTGTGCCCTGCACCTCCTCCTGCCCCAGGGCCTTTGCACTGGCTGTTCATATTGTGCAGAAGATTCATCCCCCAAATATTCCCGTGGCCTGCTCCCCTGCCTCCTTTGCACCTTTGCTTCAATGTCACCTTCTCGTTGATGCCCACCCTGGCCCCCCATCAGGAATGCAACGTCCTCTCACTCCCTGCTGCTCTTTACCCCCCACCCCCACTTTGTTTTCCGAACATTCAATAACACCATGGGATGGATGAGTGTTTTGTTTTTGGAAAGTTAGTTTCCATCTTTGAGAGTGTAAGCTCCATGAAGGCAGGGTTTTCATCTCAGTTATACGCCTCTGCCCTTCCATCCTGGACCACGCACATCTGGCACAGGGTGGGCATTTGGTAATATTTTTAATAAATTAATGATTAGCTTATCAGCTTTGAATTCAAGCTACAAGGACAGTGGCCACCTGATTTGGGGGTTCAGGCTTGGTCAGTCCCCACAAACCCCTCCAGAGTCTGACTCCCACCATGATCCAACCATCCATGTACCCAAGGCCCCAACATGCCTCAGGGCCATGCTTGTCCGAGGGAAGAAGATTGGCATTAAGGCTCATTAAGATCTGCCTGTTACGTCTTTGAATTTCACAAAGCTTTGGTGGGTAAGAGAATATAAACATTATAACAGGTGCATGGGTGCATTGGCTGTAATCCCAGTGGCTCAGGAGGCTGAGGCAGGAGGATCATGGGTTCAAAGCCAGCCTCAGCAAAAGCAAGGTGCTAAGCAACTCAGTGAGACCCTGTCTCTAAATAAAATACAAAATAGGGCTGGGTACATGGCTCAGTGGAAGAGGACAGGCAGTGAAGAATGTGGAACTTCGGGAAACCCCATCCATGGTGCAGGGAATGTGGATGGGGCACCTCCACTGGAGACAATCTGACTGTACCTAGTGGAGCATGTCTATGTCCTGTGGTCAGTGACCCCAAGTCTATCAATGCAAGTTAAAGAAGTTCTTGGATCATAATACAAGCTCAAGAATTTTCAGAACTGCACAGTTTGAGATGGAAAAAAAAAAGTGGAAATGACCAAATGGCTACCCACAGCATGTGGATACATGCATGATGGTGTATTCATATTGTGGAACACTATGCAGCCGTGAAAAGAAGTAGATTATGGCCACATACCACAGCACAGAGGACGTCTAAGAACACAATGTAAACGGTATTTTACGGTATAACTCCTGAACCACATTCCAGTCCACCCACACTTCAAAAATAACCAAAACTCTACTA